GTCCCTTCCCTCGTGCCCAGACACTGTCCAGGGCTGGCTCAGCCCAGAAGTGGCTATCCCATACCACTTCATGATGAGTCCCAAGGCTAAGGTCAGATGGCCAAGGAACAAAGTGTCATGGAAGTTCTAGTCCCTACCAAATTGTGGTCCCCAAATAGCTAATGACCAGGAGAAAGGATGGCCTTCTTTTTAGGGTTCAAGTTGGTTGGTCCCCAGCTTGGGGACGTGAAGCCAGGAGGGGGCAGTGAGCCCAGGCCTGGGAGTGAAGAGGCCTCAATACATTGTCAGTGACTCCTCCCAGACAACCTCAAAGGCCAACCTCAAAGGCCAACCTTAAAGGTTCTCTCAGACTAAGAAAGAAAACCTACAGGAAGAAGCCCTGCCCTCTAGCTTGGCTTCCTTATACCCAGCATCCGCTCTCACTTTTCCCACACACTCACTCCGGTCTCAGCATGCATCTTTCTCCAGCTGTCTTTAAAATCCTCACTCCCCCCAACTCAGCTACTGCTCTACCTCCAGGCCCCTCCTCTCCATGGACGCTACAGCTGCCTGGCCCTGCTCCCTTCACCTCTGACTGATGCCCCCTCCTTGCCCAATTTCCCTCCTGTCACTTTTGGTGTCATTATCACAGCCTCCTCTGGAACAGCAGTTCCTTGGCCTGGCCCAGAAGTTGAGGCCCCTCTGGCTGGACACCCACTGGGTGACATCACAGCCTCCCTCCCCAAGACTCCAGAGCCACCAGGTCAATGAACACCTGCAGCAGGTTGAAAACTCGCCCAAAGATCTGTCTTTATCCTTGCCCCCAGAACTGAAATGTGATCTTATTTGAAAATGAGGTCCTTGCAGATGTAATTAAGGGTCTTGAGATGGGGAGATTATCCTGGATTATCTGGGAAGGCTTTGTATGCAACGACAAGTATCATTTCACAGGCGCACACACAGCACACACACAGCAGAAAGCCATGTGACAGCGGAGGTTCTGTGATGCAGCCACAAGCCAAGGAACACCTGGAGTCCCAGAAGTCGGAAAAGGCAAGAAGGATACGCCCCTGGATCTTCAGGGGAAGCACGGCCCTGCCAAAACCTTGACTTTGGATTTCTGGCTCCCAGAACCATAAGGGAATAAATCTATGCTGCTTTAAGCCAGTTGGTCTGTGGGCATTTGTCACAACAGCCCCAGGACCCTCACACTAGACCCAAATGGGCCACTGAGGAGCTTCCCTCTGCAAAGCTCTGTCTTCTGTGCACCTTTGGTCTCCCAGCCTGCTTGGTCTCAATAGACTCCACACCTTAAAGTTCAGGAAGACTCTGGTTGGCTTTGGTGTACGTGTGGGTGTACGTGTGTGTGCACGTGTGAGTGCACATACAACGGCTGAGCACCACCCTTGCGTGGCTCCAACCTTGGGGACCAGCTTAGTCTCTGGGGGGGCCTGACCCTTTTTCTGGCCACCTCTGTGCAGCAAGCACCGGGGCCCTTTAGCACCCAAGCTTTCCTGGGCTCTGTGCCCTTCCAGAAACCAATGAAAACCGAGGACTCTGCCCTGGTGATGGTGCCCCATGTGTCCAGAATAGAAGGGCCTTTGCCTCTTCCTCTGGCCCCCATCTTCCCAAGATGAGAGCCCTCTGGGACAGAGCCTGGTTGGAGGAGGAGGTTCAAGGATGGATGAATGTTGTCACCATGTTCTCAGAGCAGCCCTGCTACTTTGGCTCTCAGGCCCCCCATCTTCCCTCTCAGACACTTCAAGGAGGTATTGCTTCCCCAAGGGGCCCTGCCCTGTCAGGAACCTGGCCCAGGATGCCTGGCTGGATGCCCTTCTTACAAGCTCCGACTTGTCTAAACCCAAGCAGTGGATTTGGCTTAGGCTCCAGCTGGGCCCACCATATCCAAAAAGGCACCTGACCTACAGTAAGTGCTTGGAAATATCCATTATCCCAACCCCATGCCCGTCAAAGGTCACTCCTTGGTGGCTGCTCCATTCATAGAACAGCCCTCCCCAAGTGAGCCGCTCCTGTGAGTGTTACTGCGTGTATTCCCGTGTGCATGTGTTAGTGTTTCTATGTGTGCACGTGTGCATGTGTTCATGTGTGCCCTGTGTTTATGTTTATATATGTGTACATGTTTATATATATGACTTTTGTGCATATTTGCATCCACGTGTCTCTGTGTTTGTACGTGTGCATGTGTTTATGTATATGTGCATTTGTGTGTGTGTGTCCATATGTGCTCTGATGGCTGCCCCAGCTGGCTCCTGCTTTGAACTACACCTGTACATACCAACAGCCTTGATGCTCCCTGCTTCAGGAGGTGTTCCTCATGGCTCTCTTCCTCTTCCCACCTTGTGTTCTGCTCAGTGTGTCAGGCCATCAAGATATCATAACCCCACATCCCACCTTGCCTACTCCCTTCCTTTCACTCCACATACGATCTGCCCCCAAGTCCAGGGGCTCCTGCTCGAGCAAATGTTGGGCTGGTACTTGTACCCTGGGCTCCATTTTTCCTTTCCCCTGGCTCAGTGCACACTAGCCCAGTGCTCTGCAGCTTCCTCACCCTGGGGCTTCTTTTGACCACAGCCAGGGTCCAGAGCGTAACAGTATGCTTTCCAGCCCACTGAAAGTCAACATGGGGGCTGCTGGATCGCAGGGGATAATCTGGCTGTCACTGTGGGGACTTGTAAATTATGATTATGACCCAATGGTTTGCAATACATTTGATAATAAAGTGAGGCTAAGGAATTCATTTTCACACTGTGGTCAAGACCAAGTGCTCCAAGAGTGGAGCCCACCTTTCTACCACGACCACAAGCTTGTAGGCTTCTGCCTGAGTGGCTCATGGCCTCTAGTCTGGGCAGTGTGGGCACTGCCCGTGGAGTCCTTCTTCTGCACTTACCATCTGTGTCACACTTGTCCCCTGAGCTTGTCAAGGCACCACTGCCCTACTGTGTCCCTGAGCTGGTACATGTAGGATATGGGCTTGGTGAAGTTTCATAAAATGAGAGGGAAATGAAGGAAAGGAAGGGAAAGCAGAGTGGGAGGGAGGCAGGAAGAGAAGACAGAGGTCCAGTGGGGCTGTGTTGGACCTGCAGAATGCACACCCTGATCCCCACAGAGAAACACACATGGTTCCAGCTTCCTATCTCTGCTGGCTCCTGGTGCAGGCTGCCCCTCCTTCCCACCAGCAAGGGGACTTGACTGAAGCCCTGACTCCTGGCCCCTGGCCAGTGCCCTTGCCCTGTGCCTGCCCAGCTCAGCAGAGATTGCCAGGCTGTGGAACACATGCCCCAGAATAGTGCTATGATGCTGCCATTGACATATTCTATCGCTGGGCCATCACGCTGACTGATACCTCCCATCCCAGAAAGGAAAAACCTGGGGACACTGGGTGCCCTGGGTGCTAGGCCAGGCGTAAGGGCATGGCGGTGTGCAAGTAGCCACACACAGTGCCTCTGGGCTCCACCTCTCCTGGATTGTGGCTCACTGGGCTCTGTCTGCTCTATTTTTGCTGGTTGCCTGTAGCTGCCCAGGGAAGCCCCAGCTCCCACAAGCTGAGCAGGAGGCCCCGTGTGCTGGACACAGGGAAGAACTGCAGGCTTAGCCTGGGGCCACCTGAGCCCACTAGGCCTGCCTCCACTTGGAGGTGTTGCTCTGGGGACTGACTCTTTGTGGGCAAGCCTTGTGCACCCAGATTCCAGGCTTCCCTGGCCTGGAGCTGGGCCCTCTCTCGGCATCCAGAGTCCACACACTGCAACCTGGCCCCTAGTGAGACCTATGGGAATGTTGGGGGGAACCCAAGTCAAGCCAGCACAGGTGGGTGTCTCAGTACTCCACAGGGCCCCATCCCCTCTGCCCTTTCCCAAATATTACCACAGGTGCGGCCACAGCTCTGACTGCAACTCTTCTGAGCCCCCACTTCCATCAAGACAGACAGACCAGGGCCCTTCTTGGATGCCAAGGCTCCCCTCCTGATGGCTGGAGGGGGACCAGCCTGGTGCCCTATAACTGGCAGGTGCTTGACAAATGCACCACTCTGGAAGGGCACATGCCAGGCCTGGCCTGCTTCTGGAGCCCAGCTTAAGGACAGTTGGGGCCATGGAAGTGCCTTGAAGGGAGGAGGAAGTAGCTAGCCCCTGGGCCTTCTGCCAGGTCACTTGGGACCTTCTTTCCAGCCCTGGATCTGAGGGCTGGGATAGCAGAAAAGCCCAGGGCTCAGAGGGGGCATGGAGAGGCAGAGCCTAGGAAGTAGCCCCAGAAGTAGTGCACACAGAACCACATTGCACAGTGTTTCTTTAATTGAAAGACAGCCGACCTCAGAAGCAGCCCTCCTCGGGCTGGGTGTGACTGCTCATAGCACAGCAGGGACCAGAAGGCGAGGGAGGGGGACCAAGGCACCTCAGGGAGAGGATAGGGGCCAATGAAAACTGGAGCTTGGGATTCTGATGGCATGCTGGGCCTCTCATAGGGGATAGAAAACTCCCCCTCTTGATAGTGAAGCATGGCCACCTCCTGGAGGAATCTATGCAGGGTTCTGGGCCTCCACTTTCCAGCCCCCTCCAGGGCTGGGTAGGGCAGGGAGGCAGCTGCCCCCAGGCTTGTTTGATCAGGAGCTGGGCAGGGACCTGTGAGACAGAAAGCACAGAAAGCAGAACCAGCCCAGGGCAGGGGGGTCATGGTGTGTGTGTGTGTGTGTGTGTGTGTGTGTGTGTGTGTGTGTGTGTGAGAGAGAGAGAGAGAGAGAGAGAGAAGAGAGAGAGGAGAGAGAGAAGAGAGGGGAGAGAGGAGAGAGAAGAGAGAAGAGAGAGAAGAGAGGAGAGAAGAGAGAAGAGAGAGGGGAGAAAGGAGAGAGAAGAGAGAAGAGAGAAGAGAGAAGAGAGAGAAGAGAGGAGAGAGGAGAGAAGAGAGAAGAGAGAGAAGAGAGGAGAGAGGAGAGGAGAGAGGAGAGGAGAGAGGAGAGAGGAGAGGAGAGAGGAGAGAGGAGAGAAGAGAGGAGAGAAGAGAGAAGAGAGGAGAGAGGAGAGAGGAGAGAGAAGCGAGAAGAGAGAAGAGAGGAGAGAGATTGAGATTGAGATTGAATTGGTCCAGAGGGACAAGGTAGCTGGGATAGACAGGCGATGAACTTGTTGAAGTGGAGGAACCAAAGGCCAAGAGCAGCAGGCAGGACCCAGGAGAACTGGAAGACTACAGCATATGAGAAAGAAGAGGAACGTGTGCTTGGATGAGGTGGTGGCCATGGCAAAGTCCACTGTCTCCATTCCTAACCCCTTCTGCCCTGCTGACCCATGGACCAACTTTTCCTAAGGCTGGAGCCTCGCACAATTGGCTTTGAGGGTAATCGTGGGGGCACCTCTGAGTGGCCCCATTGGCGAGTGGCGCATCTCTGGAGCTGAGGGGAGCAAGTGATGAGGGCCAGGCCTTGTGTCGACCTGCATGCTTGGGAGCCAGGGAGAGGCTGTGATGGGGCAGCGAGTTGGGGTCAGGGACCAAAGGTGGGGGCTTTGTTTCCTCGCTTTGCCTTCCCCTCTGGGACAGCTGGCTGTGTTCCTAAGAGACCCCCCCACTAGGTCACCATGGTGGCTGCCATTGCCTCTACTTCTTGTAGTTGCCAAACTGGATGGCAAGGCGGTCAGTGACGCAGCGGAAGGTGGCTGGCTGTACCTCCCAGTAGGGCACAGGGTTGTTGAAGAGGCTGATGCCATTGTAGTATGCTCGCTTGACCCCGAAGCCCATGGGGCAGAAGTCGTTGACGCCCACCTTGGTGATGTTGTTGGAGTGCAGATAGACCACCTGGGGACAGAGGGATGTGGTAGAGACTCTCAGGGCCCAGTTGTCTCACACCCTTTCCCAGTCTGTTCCAGCCTGGGCGGGTGCTATGGGTTGCAGGCAAAATGGAGAGAAGATGGAGGAAGCCTAGGGCCTGCCTCCATGTTGGGTTCCACTGGCTGCTTCCTGGGCATCATTTTATTATAGTACGTCCACACCACCTTTTGAAGGCTACGGGGGAGGAAACTGAGGTTTGATGGTAGGTGTTGGCCATGATTGGGATACTGGTCTGTGACCAGAGACCAGGATAAGGGGATCAGGTAGGGTGTGTGGTGAGTGGAAGGTGGGGGACAGTTGAAGGCTGGGCTGGGGATGTCATGGTGGGCTTGTGTTAGGTGGAGTGAGGTTGTAGGAAGTGAGCATTGGTTCTGACATGACATCTATTTAGGAAGATGGTGCCTCGGGCTCACAGAAGGCACCTGGTCCTCCCTCTGGGTTCCCTAGGCTCCAGACCTGCCCCCAGGGGAGTACTCTCTCACTTTGGAGACTTGGGGGGCATGAGAGGAAGAAGAACCTTCAGGGTGCTCTCCTCTTCCTGCCAGTCCTCAGAGACGCTCGCCTTCTAGCAGCACACCCCCATTCCTGAAGCCTCTTGGGGAGGAAGGGTACAAGCATGGCTCAGGAGGCTGGCTCACTGGTGGCAGAGGTCACTGGCCGCTAGAGGGCGCGCTCAGCCTGGTGTGGGCCATGTTGCTGTAGAAGCTGTGCTGCCAGGCATGGCTGGATGACTGGTAAGGATGGCAGTGCTCCTACCATTGTGAATGGAACTGAGAAAGAGATTCAGGCCCAGAGCAGCTTGGGCAAAATCAAGTTCACCCATGTGGCTAGAAGCCAAGCTAGCGATGGAGGCCGCTGAGAGAACCCCACGGATGGAGGGTGCCCACAGGTTGGAGGGAGGAAGATTGGACACTGCTCCTTCCTAGATGAGGAGATGGGACCCAGAGAGCAGAAGTGACTGGCAAGTGACATGCCAGGACCTGTTCTGCTCTCTACCCTGGCTTCAGTCTTAGACGGCGGCTCTCACCTGGAGGAGCTTGAGGTCCGGAAGCCCCGCGGGCACCCTGGACAGCTTGTTGTTGTCTAGGTGCAGTTCCCTCAGGGTGGGCAGGAAACTCAGGCTCCCATTCTCAATCATACGGATCTGGTTGTGGCCCAGGCCCAGCCTGTGGACGGGTGAATAAAGAGGTACACAGAGGCTGGAGGGGAGAAGGACCATGGGACAAGATCTGGGGGGACTCCTACCCCACCCCATGCCCTGAGCCTCTTTGGCTGATAGAAACCTACAGCTCCCCTACGCCTCCTCCCCCGCCCCGCCCCGCCCCGCCAGTTGCCTCAGCCCCACCTGTACAGCTTGGAGTAGCGGAGCAGGTCCTCTAGCTCAATAGCCTGGATTTTGTTGTGGTCCAGATGGAGTTCATTCAGAGACTCGGGGAGATCTAGCCAGAAAAGAGGGTGATCAGAGGTGAACATAGGTGCTGGGGATGGGGTGCAGAGGTGAGAGGGGACCCTGCTGAGCTCTACCTCAATTATACTGGGCAGGTCACCCCAGTCTGTGCTCCTGTTGGTGAGGCAGGGTAGGATGGCAGGACCACCTTCCTACCTTTGGGGATACCGGTGAGTTTAGCCTCTGAGATGCGCAGGTAGTTGAGCTTCAGGCCATCAAAGGCTCCAGGTTCAAAGCCACTGTTCTCCAGGGGGTTCCCACCCATCTCTAGGAGAGAAGTCTTGTCAGATCTGGAGCCAGCCAGAGACACTCTGCACACCCACCAGGACCTGTCAGTTTCTGGTCTTAGGCTCCGGCTCGCCTGATAGGTATGCAGATTGGTGGCTTCCTCCCCACCCCAGCCTCCTGAAAGCAGTTCCATGAATCTACCCAGCTAATTGCAAACCCCAGCTGTTTAAGATTACTAATCCCACGGGCCCTGGCCCTGGTCTTGGCCTCTAGGAGAAGGGAAGCAAAAGGAAAGTGAGGACACCCAGAGATAAAGATGGGGCTCCCTGGAAGCAACCTAGTCCTTCCAGCTGGCCTTGGTTGTGCAGTGCTTGAGCCCTTGTCCCTTCTCTGCCAGCCCAGTCCTGTATGCTCCCTTTAGCCACAGTGATCACCCAAATTGGGGGCGGGGTGCTCTAGAAACACACCTGACTTTCTTTAGACTCTTTTTGAGATTCTTTCTTGAACCAAGTCTTTAAAGCCATCCCCACTGTCCCTTCACCATGCCCTGAGACACGGAACAATCTGTGAGGGCTACTAGGCTCCTCCCCGCAGGCCCCTGCTGTCCTAGTGGGAAGAGGTTCCCTCTCCCTGATTCCCTTCTGCCAGCTGCTGGGTGGGGGCTGTCATGAGCTGGGGCTGCGCTCACCAATGCAGTTCATGTTCCGGAGCCCGCTGAACACGCCCTTGGGCACTTTGCGGATGCGGTTGTCATGGATACGGAGCTCCACCAGGGAGCTGGGCAGGTTGGGAGGGATCTCCACCAGGTGGTTCTTGGAAATGTAGAGCTTCTGCAGCTTCCGTAGGGGGCTGAAGGCCTTCTCATGTATCTTGGAGATCTTGTTATTCACCAGGACTAGGGCCTGAGGCAGGGTAGGTGATGGAGGTGAACGCCCCAACTCCTCACCCCACCTGCCCTTCTCTCCCTTCCTCCTCTGACTCCTGTTCTCATTGTTGACAGCACTTGAGAGATGTCAGAGCCTGGTTTGGCCTCAAGGAAGTCAGTCTGTGCTTGTGAGCAGAGAGCAGAGAAGGAAGCAGCACTCAGGCCTCGCTCCAAACTCCTGCAATGCCACTACGGTCTAGTACAGCCTTCTGCTTCTCTGCACCTCAGTTTCCCCACTTGCATATTGGCTATAATGAAATCTGTTCTTTCTGTGTCCCTGGGAGGAACCAATAAGATGAAAAGTTTTCAACCAAAAAGGAAACTGATCTGAATGAGCTTGTCTTGCACGCACACACATGATCCACAACCTTGGGAGCTCCTGCAGCCAAGCCAGCTCCAGATTTTTCTCAGGATCGTATGGGTTCCCAGGCTCTTCTCATACCCCACATATATGTGCACACATGTACCTATGTGCATACCCCACATATATGTGCACACATGTACCTATGTGCATACCCCACATATATGTGCACACATGTACCTATGTGCATACCCCACATATATGTGCACACATGTACCTATGTGCATACCCCACATATATGTGCACACATGTACCTATGTGCATACCCCACATATATGTGCACACATGTACCTATGTGCATACCCCACATATATGTGCACACATGTACCTATGTGCATACCCCACATATATGTGCACACATGTACCTATGTGCATACCCCACATATGTGCACACATGTACCTATGTGCATACCCCACATATATGTGCACACATGTACCTATGTGCATACCCCACATATATGTGCACACATGTACCTATGTGCATACCCCACATATATGTGCACACATGTACCTATGTGCATACCCCACATATATGTGCACACATGTACCTATGTGCATACCCCACATATATGTGCACACATGTACCTATGTGCATACCCCACATATATGTGCACACATGTACCTATGTGCATACCCCCCCCAGCTGCAGACTTCCCAACTCCTCCCAGCTCCTCAGAAAGGGTGAGGTGGGAAAGGGGGCCTTACGTAGAGATGCTGGAGGCCTTTGAAGTCATCCTTGCGAAGTTCAGAGATGTCATTGTTCTGCAGGTCCAGCAGTGTGGTGTCAGGTGAGATCTCCTTGGGCACAGTTTTCAAACCTGGGGACCAGCATCATCACCAGTATGAGCATGGGGCCACCCATTCTGCTATCACAACTGTAATGGGAGGGTGGGGACACCCATGCACATGGGGACACACACACACACACACACAGGAATACTGGCACAAACATAGGGATTCTGCCACTAATGGGTGTGCAATCTCCAGAGCTTGCAGACTCTGCTTGCAGTCAGACAGCTGGACACCTTCACACACTCACATCATGATCCCGCAGCCTCTGTGGGCTCTCCCTGGCCCTGCCCCCGCCCTTCCATGCTAATCCCATAGGAAGGGCATGTGTTCCCTTTAAAAGGGGTTCTCAGGCTGGGCCTATGCCCCCCTGCACACTCCCCAACCCAACTGCCCAGGGACTGACCCAAGTCAGAACACTGAACAACCCGCAGGTGACAGTGGCAGCCAAAAGGACACATGGCGCTGAAAGTGGGTGTCAGGGAGTCCAAGTCGGGGACGCCCGAGGTTGTATCAGCTCCTGAAGCCTCCTCATCATTCATCATGAGCAGCCCATCGTCCAGGGTGAAGTCCCAGAAGCCCTTCTGCTCAAAGGGCAGGGCCTGGCTCAGGGCCAGCAGAGACACAGCGAGGAGCCACAGGGGCCGCATGGTGGATGTGCCTGGGGGCTAAAGGACGAGGGACCATTGGTCAGCACCAGCACCACCCTCAGGCCCTTCACTGCCCGCCTCCCTAGCACCAGTGACTGGTGTTCTCTATTTGTGTGTGTTGGCAGTATGTCCCCAATCCCTCAACATGGATGGCCAGTCCTAGGAGTGAGGTGGCAGAGGGAGGTGTGAGCAGGAGGCACCAGGCAGGATGGGAGTGCTGATTGGCCAGGGGAGCACCTCTTTCCACTTGCTTCCCCTTCCCTGGCAGGACTTGGTTTCACTGGGCAATGAAATATCTTCCCAATTAGTGCAAGGCTGTGCTCCCTACCACCACCACCACTGAGTCAGCCAGAGCCTGTGTGTGTGTGTGTGTGTGTGTGTGTGTGTGTGTGTGTGTGTGTGTGTGTGTGTGTGTGTTGGGGGGTGGTGTCAGTGAGGCCAAGTGGAGGAGGCAGAGGGGAAACCCAGCCATTGGCCCCTGCAGGCCACCCAGAGTTCAAGGCTCAGGGCAATTTGGATGCAATTAGTTTAATTAGGCGACCCATGAGTCATTTCCTTCCCTGCCTGGGCCCCCTCCACCGTACCCACATGTCTTTGAGAAGGTCCAGAGGTCAAGGCACTGGAGGCAGCCTGGGGAAAGAGAGGAGCAGCCTCCCAGACCGTGGGCAGCTCTAAGCAAAGGTCCCCCAGGGGGAGGGGAGAATAACACCCTGCTCTCCTTCACTTTGTCCCCCAGGACCTCAGCCTACAGAGGTTGTAGCTCCCAGATCAGCCCCTGCCCTTCCTTTGTGCCCATGACCCTGGTATCTGGAGAGGCTCCCAAGGGAAGCAGGCTGCTGCCAGGGTGGCAGGGCAGGGTCAGGCTTGTCTGGAGGCCCCCCAGGCTGAGGCAGTGGGGTAGGGGTGGTGAGACGCTGCTCTGCCTGAGCCTGCCCCCAGCACTCACATCTGCCTGATCTTCCTTCTTCATCAGACACTGCCCCCTGTCCAGGGGCTTGTCTGCATTGAAGCCTAGAACACGTCGTACAGGAAAAGGCCTCTCATACTACCCCCACTTTCCTGACATCCTAGCAAAGGCCCAGGTTCTATCCTGGCCTCAGTCTCCCCATCTGTTATATAGGAAAAATGTCCCGCTTACCTCCCAGGCTTAGGTATCTGGGATTGCCTGGGTGCATCTATGGACAGGGAGCCCAGCTGGGCACCAGGGGCCTCCTGCAGACTCAAAGCAGCCCCAGTCCAAGGAAGTCCTCATCTGGGACTCCCACTAGGCAAGGTAAGTCCCCTGAGCCCAAGTGCTGGAGGAAAAGGAACAAGGGGGCCCTGAGGAAGCAGCTTGCAGGCCCATGGGACAAGGGGGCTGGACTGGGTTGGCTGTTGTGGGCTACTGCTTTGGAGTTCTCACCACCTGTGGCTGGGGGCCTGGAGCCACCTCACAGCTTGGTTGGGTCTGGACACATGCACTGCACCTCCACTTGCCGTCAATCCCAGGAGAAAACTGGGTGTCTGCTGTTGCTTGAACACTCCAGGGAGGATCCACAGGCACATGTTCCCCTGAGTGGCTCATGTGGTTTGCCTTGGCCCTCGACCATACCAAACACAGAGGACCCTATGTGGAGGGCAGAGTGGCAGCAACTTCTAAGAGGAAGTGGAGCAGCCTTCCCGAGCCCCGAAGGTCATACAGCAAAATGAAGGGCAGAACCCAAGGCTTAGCTCTGCTTCCCTCTCACATCCAGAAGTGGGCTTGCTGCTGATTCCTGAGGTCATAGGGAGCCCCCTGCTGGGGGACTGCCCAGCTTCCCTCACTCCTTGGAAGAAGCCTAGAGATGCTCCAATCACACCCAAGGCTTGCCGGTCCCAGCAGGCCCAGTGGGCCCCACAGGACCCCTCCAGAAGTTCTTGGCCCCAAGTAGGCAGAAAGACCCATGCTCGCCTACCTAAGCGATGCTTCCTTTCTTCCCCCCAGTTTGCAGCCTTCAAGGTAAGGCTGGGCTGGGTAGGGCCTCCCGTACCTGCCACCACGAGTGGGACCCTCGTCCAGGTGCTGTTGGGCACCCAAGGGCCGGAAGGAAAAGCAGGAGCAGTGAGAGAGCAGGAGGGGGAGGCCCAAGGTAGGAGAGCAGATGGAATGGGAGTGAGGGAGGAGCCTTCCCAGCTGCTGCCCAAGCCGAAGCTGCTACCTCACAGGAGAATGAGTCAGGACTGGAATGCCTGTCCTCCCACCCTCCCTGGAAGGCTCTGGGATCCACAGTCTGGATAGGTGGGGGTGGGGCAGTCTGACCAGGCCAGGCCTAGGGGAGGCAGTGTGGAGAGGCCAGAGCAATGGGGAAGATGGGGCAGAGGACCATCTACTTGTGGCCAACCTAGGGCCCCTGGATCCACACGGTGGCCCAAGGTCTTCACAGAGCCTCTGAGGAGTCTCCACACAGCCTCCCAGACATGCAGGAGATGATACTTCTCCACAGGCACTGCCAGGAAAGTGGACAGCCTGTTTAAGGGGTGGACCCTCTCCACCAGGGAAGACAATATACGGGAAGGACCAGTCATTGAGGCCCCAGGGGCTCATGGGATTCTCTTGAGGAAGTTTACCAGTTCAGAGAAGCCATGCCTGATGTAGGTGCAGGGGTCCCCAAGGGACTGACAGGGGTGCAGAGACGGGCCCAACCCTCTGCCCAATGGCTCCAGTTCAGATTCACCCCGAGGGGTGAGAGGCTGAGGGCTTTGAGGCCCGTACACCAGTGCCCTGTGATGAAGACAGGATGAAGTTTGGCAGATTTTTCAGGGCTCATGGCTGAAGGGGTAGGGGCCACATGAGCTTCCTGGCACAGCCCCAATTTCCCCTCAGAGAACTTTGCAGAGGAGGGACATACCAGACAAAGAGCCTGCTGGAGCCCAAAAGGAAGGTATTCCTGTCGTCAGCACAATCAGTAGCCCCACTTGATGAATGAGAAAACCAAGGCCTTAAGGAAACTGATTTCTCCCAAGTCACTCAGTTCACTCAGCCTAAGACTTGGAGACCAGTTGTGACTTCAGACCCTGATCTTACAGCCTTGGCTCTGGCCCATGGGTGGGGGTTAGCTGGTGAAGGGCTCTGGGCTCACAAGTAGGCAATGCAGACAACCTGGGGAAAGAATCTCCAAGCGTGGTGATGGTGATGATGAAGGTGGGGGGTGCTGTACATAGTTTCAGTGCCTCCCTTCTCCCTACCTCTCACACTGAGCCCCACCCATCTCCAAGCAGGGCCGCAGCCCCAGAAACAGGTGTGTCCTGTGGACAGACTGTGAGACCTACGACAAGTCCCTCTATCACTGAGGCCTCTGGACCTCAGTTTCTCTTCATCGGTCTCCCTGGATGTGTCCTTAAGTTCCATCAAAGGCAGCTCTGAATTTGCTGGACGCCACCTCCTCAGAGCAAAGGAAAGAAGTGGTTATGGTGGTGAGCCTCAGCTTGGCGACCGCAGGTGTGAGTGAGGGAAGGGGCTGGGCTTCCTGGAGTCTATGCCACCACCCTAATAGGGCCCTCCTTGTCTGCCCCTCTGAAAGCCAGCGCAGTGCTCCATGCAGGATTGCTCCAGGTCACAGCTAAACAAGACGCGCTGGCAGCCTCTGAGAACATGGAGAGGCCGTGCCAGGCATTCAGGCCAGGCCAAGGGCGGCGGGAGCAAAACTTGAGGTCTGGCGGGCTCTGGGAGCTTGCCTGCAGATGTGTGGTGGGTAGCTGCCAAGACACCAGGCGCGGTCTCTGCAGCCTTAGCCCAGAGGATCTCTGATAAATAAGTGTGTCACCTTCCACCCAACCCTGTTAAGCCCTTGGGACTGCGTGGGTGGGAAGGGGTGAGAGGGAGACAGGTGACACTAGGTGCCCTTCTTCCCTGCTCTCTGGTTGCTAAAACCCTCTCTCTAGTTGCAGCTTCAACCTGCAGGCTGACAGCTGACCTGCTGTCTGCTCTCTCTTACCACCCTACTCGTAAGGATCCATCCTACACTTGAGTGGCAACCAGAAGGGATGTGTGCTGCCTGTGGGTCTGCCAAAGGTCATGTGGAGATGGGGACTGGAAGGGGTACCTTGAGCCCCACCTCATCTGCACCTAGACTACAACCCATGGCCATTGCCTCACATGGGCCTTTATGCTGTAAGGGGAGCAGATGCCCAAGCATGGTTGACCAGGGCTCCTCCCACTGTGGCCTTGGCACTGCTGGTGTGACTGGAAAGAGTTGGGTCCTGTTCCCCATCAGACTTGGGGGACAGGTTGTACCTGAGTGTAGATGTCAGAGGCACTCGGGAGGTGTCAAGGTGACTGAGCACACCAAAGGAGAGCCTTCTCTCTCCTGTCCTACCTGCCAATAAGAAGCCTCTGGAAAGGAGTCAGACAGCAGATAACCCTAGTCGGCTAGCAGTACTTACTAGGTTTCCTGGTCCCTCTGCACCTTGGCCAGTGCCCTCATGTCTTCTCCCACTCTCTTAAGAAATCTGGGCTCCTACTTGACATGTGCTAGAATCTTCGGGGAAGAGGGAGGACGCTGTCATCTCCTAATGACAGAGCAGGGGACTCACATGATTTCTTTACCTAGCCACTCCCTCCCACGCACCCCGTTGACCATGAGAAGGAAGTTATGTTTTTAACACTTGATGAAGGGGTAAACCAAGGCTGAAAGTTTGTTCAAGACCACATAGCGAGGAAGTACTAGAGCTGGGACTCCACCACCAGCCTGTCTGTGTGTCTGTCTGCCCATGCCAAATTCCGCTGCTGGGAAAGGAAAGCAGCCAGGGGCCAGAGAACCCCTTTTCTTCCTGGGTCGAGGATTTCCTGCAGCCTCTCCCCAGCACCAGATTTCCCCTGCTTTCTGTCAGGGGCTCTGGCTGGGATGGGTTCCAGCTGTCACTCATTAGCCAGGGAGGCCAGGACCCTGTCCATCTTCAGGCCTCCCAGGGCCACTGGGGCTCCTTGCAGCCTGGCACCCCTAAAGCCCATGAGAAAACAGGAGAAGAAGTGATGGGGACTAGGGCTGCACCT